TTTTTAATCTCCTATTTAACTTATCATCTCCTCTGCTTCTTCCATACTTGCTATCACCGCGTGTAGTTTATTTTGCACCTAATTTACAGCATTTCTTCATTTATCGTGACTATATCTTACATCTTTGCTCTCTGCAGCAATAGATTCTCTGCTGTCTTCTATGCTTTTTTCAAGCCCACCTAGTAGTCTTATGATTGTTACTCTGAATTCTTGTTCAGAGATGTTGTTTTTATCTGTTTTGAGCAGTTCTCATTTCTTCCTGGATTTTCTTTTGAGGAGAATTTTTTTGTTTTGTCATTTTGGCTAGGTTTCTGTCTTTTATGTGTTTTAATTGTCATGTGAGCACTACCATATTTAAAAGGGGTCTTACACTGTTCAGAGCCTGGCACTTCAGGAAGTGTGTTTTGAGTGTGTTGCACGCACGCACTCTGTTGTTGCATCTTTGGCTGTTCTGTCCCACTGCTTTAGTGGTGGATTGTTTGGACCTTTCACCAGGTATGTGTTGATTTGTTTGTTGAAGCAACCCTGGACAAAAGAAAAATAAAGTGTGTGTGGGGGAACCTTAATCTGTACAAAGAGAGAAATGAAAGGGGTGGATAAAAGACGACCAGGCAGAGAATCAAAGAAACTATAAGGCTTAATCCATAGAGAGCGAGGGGAAAATAAAGGAAGATATAGAAAAGGTGTAAAAAGAATAGATTTAAATGCCTGATTAAACAAGCGGAATAAAAACTAACCAAAAATCAAATCAGAAACTGTGAGCTAGTTTCCAAAGGGAAGAAAAAAAAAAGCCGAGGGTAGAAAGAAAAAGAAGGGAAAAGAGAAGAGTGAAGAGAAAGAAAGAAAAAGAAATAATAAAAAAAATATTAAAAAAAAAAAACGAACCTACAAAACTGCAGGACAGTTGTCTGTTGGTGCTGGGACCGGGGCCGTGCTGGTCCGGGTCAGGCCACCAGGCATGGAGGGGCGAGGCTTGCTGTAAGCAGGTCCCGCATCCACTGGGGGCCGCTGTGTGGGTGACGGGGAGAAAAAATGGTGACCTCCCAGTCTCTCTTCTCCAGTGGGGTGTGTGGGTGCTTGGCTGGGATTCAAAACCCGAGGTCTTAAAGGACTCCACTCTGCACAGAACTGGTCCATAGCCTCGAGTCTATCTTAAATTTCTAGAAATGGGATTGCTGATATAAAAGTGTAGTACATATGTAATTACTGTATATTATACTTGGATCTTTAATCCTATTATACTTGGATCTTTAATCCACTTGCAGCTTATTCTGATATGTGAAGTATTGATCCAGTTTTTAATTCTCCAAATGGCTACCCACTTGTCCCCAAACCCACTTATTACATTGACTTTCTTTTCCCACAGATCTGAGATTCTGACTTTATCACACACTAAATTTGTCATATGTATTTGGGGTGTATTTCTAAGCTTTTAATTGTTTCATTAGCTGTTAGCTTTGATCTGTTCATGCCCCAGGTGACTCTCTAGAATGTTTTAATGCCTGATAGGCATGAAATGATGATACGTATCATCATCTCTCATTTTCTGAATTCTCTCATCTCCCGTTTTTGAATTTTCCCGATTGTTCTTGTTTATGCTTCTTTAAAAAATTTTTTTTAATGATTATTGATTTTTGAGAAAGAGAGTGTGGGCAGGGGAGGGGCAGAGAGAGAGGGAGATACAGAATCCGAAGCAGGCTCCAAGCTCTGAGCTGTCAGCACAGAGCCCAACGTGGGGCTCAAACCCACAACCTGTGAGATAATGACCTGAGTGGAAGTCGGACACTTAACCGGCTGAGCCACCCAGGCGCCCCCTGGCTTGTTTATGCTTCTATATAAACTTTCTTTTGTTTAAATATCTTTTGTGAAAAATTTGAAATATATACGCGTATGAATCAGCAAAATCTTCTACCCAGTTTCAGGGACTGTCAGTATTTTGCTATTTGTATTTCATTTATGTTCCCTAACCCTCTCTTTCTCATTTTTTTTGGAGTATTTTACAGCTCTCTCACGTACTTCATCCCTTAAGTACTTTACTATGTACATCTCTCTAATAAACCTTTAAAAAAAATCCCTAAAACCACAGTGTCATCCCACTTCACAAAATTAATACTAATTAATAATACTGGTAAGGTGGTATTATCTAGATCTAGTTTAGTTTTCCAAGATTTTTTCTGTAGTGTTTTTTCATAGTTGGTCTGTGGAAAACAAGGTCCTCACATTGCATTTGGTTGATGTGCCTCACCAATCTTTAATTTGTAACCACCTCCCTCTCCTTGCCTGCCATACTGAGTTTTCCTTACTTTTCCTGTTTTGTGTGTTTCTTATAGTGATGTCTGTTACCCCTTTTTTGTTACTTGTGTAAATATTTCAGTTTTTGTTTTTTTTTAATGATTTTGAATTTTTCTTCACTTTGTTGCCTGAGTTCTGTCAGTTCCTGTTCCACATTTCTTTTGCTGTCTGCTGTCACCGTTGTCTGGGCCATCTGGTCCTCTGTTCATGTCTTGTATTCTTTCGATACTATGATTATATTCTTAAGCTTTTTCGTTTATTTTAGTTTTTTCAGCATGCTGTTTTCATCTGCTTTGTGACAACATTTTCTTGGTGAAGTTTTATTACCTGTTGTAAAGTTATACGCTCATTTTCATCCTTTCCCTTCTGGTTTCTTTGTGTTGAAGCAGATGGGATGCCTTTTCGGTTACTTGTGTTTGAATGAGATTGATTTTAGTGAAGGAAGAGCAAGAGGCTTCCAAGTGGGGGAACACCCCCCTCTGGTAGTGTTCCGAGTGCCCGGGCTCCCTCCCCAGCTTCAGTCCCTTGGCTCTCGAAGCCTGGCCTGCTTGAGGAAGGACTCTGCCTCCATAGCCGTGTTTCCCGGGGTTCCTCACAGCCTTTACTTTGCAAGGTGGTGTGTCTGCTGTGAGAGTTCGTTATTTTGTTAACCTTTTTGAGTGCTCGCCCCCTTTCTTCTTTCTCCCTGGTTTCACTCTTCTCTGCTTCCCGCAGCCTCCCCGCCCTCGATTAACCTGCCTCTTGCTCTCAGCAGCTCCCTTTAGGGATGAGGTCTGTCAGCACTTCCATTTTTTCCCTAAGACCCCTTGGTGGCTGATGCGGACCATGTGGCTTTGCCTTTTTCATTTGTTGGCACTTGTTATCTTATCCCATTTCATTGTTTTCAGATTTGCTTAAAGTCCTTTCCACTCAAGGAGGGGCGGGGTGTCTTAGCAATCCCTTTTTTCTCCACTGTACTCAGTATATCTTATGGTTCTAGTACCAACTTTGCTATTTGAGGGGAATGTTTGACCACATATAAATCAAATTTGAAAGTGTTTTAAATTTGTGCCTTTTCTCATCTCCTAGCATAACTGAAGATGTAGCTTTTATTTTGCTCTGTTGATTTTGCAGCTAAGCTACCTCTTATTTAGAATAGTTCAGTTGACTTTTCTAGGTTTTCTTGGTATATAAATACATCATCTGTAAATGATCATTTTTTCCTTTCCTTTATAACTTCTTTATACCTCTTATTTCATTTTTTTAATCTAGAGGTTTTGACATATTCTAAGGTCATTGATGATAGTGTTTTCTTTTGACCATAGGAATGTTTCTTCTAGTTTTCTGTTGAGTATGTCAGCAGGTTTGGGGGTTGAGATTCTGTCGTGTTAATGAATTGGATATCTATTTTGATTTTACTAAGATTTTCAAAAATATCAGTGATGAATATTGAATATTATCAAATGCTTTTCAACATCTGTGGAGATAATTTGATTTTTAACAATTTTAATCTATTATTTCAATAATTACATAAATAAGTTTTCTTAAACCATTCTTGTATTTCTGTAATTTTAGTGTTTCATATTTGCTTTCTCTCCTGTGGTCTTTTTGTGCCCGAGAAGATTTTATATTCTCTAATTGTGGAGCCTCGGGTTCTCAGTGTCTGATAAATCAAACTCATTACTTATGTTGTTCAAATCTTCTATAATCGTACAGTTTTTTTGCTTACATGGTCTGTCATGCTGAGACAGGAGTGTTAAAATCTTCCACTCTGATGAGGTATAGATTCATTGGTTTCTCGTTGTAATTGTTTACTACATAGAGTCTTGTTAAACGCAAAATTTAAGAAATTTTATTTCTTTTTGGCAGACTGGCAGGTATCAAACATCAAGTACTGAATTTACCCCTGATGGTGCTTTTTGGCTTCATTGCGTGTTTTATTTGCTGTTATTATATCTGAAACCACCTAAGTAATGTAATTGAAGCCCTAAATTTATGTGAGGCATATGCTTACCTTATGAATATGAGGGGAGACCTTTTATTTTTATTTTTAAATGTTTATGTTAGAGAAAGAGCATGAGTGGCAGAGGGGCAGAGAGAGAGAGGGAGAGAGAATCTCACTGTCAGTGCAGAGCCTGACACGGGGCTTGATCTTATGAACCATGAGATCGTGACCTTAGCTGAAATCAAGAGTCAGATGCTTAACTGACTGAGCCACCCAGGTGCCCCTAAAAAGATATGTTCCTATGGATGCTGAGATAACATGCTTCTTTGCTGACTTCCTTTGTTGGCTGGGTAATTTTGTTCTGTTCCATCCTTACCCTGCTGGAGTAGACATTTGAAGTTCCTGCCTGCATGTGGGGCAGTGAAACGAATGTTTCTCTGTAGATGGAGACATGTCTGAGAGCTTGTGATGTGTTTTAATTGCTGGTCCCTTTGGGTTATAGAACTATTTGGCAGCCAGCCTTCCTCAGTGTTAGCTTATACTTACTGCCCCATGGATTTTTTAAATTTTTTTACTTTTTTGGTAGTTCTCCCATGTGTTTGGACAGATGCCTACTATGTTAATTCTTCATTTTTGATATTTTGGTATTTTGTGATGGAATAATTTCTAGGTTATTCTGTTGACCACATTGCTAGAAATGCAAGTCCTCAAAGTTTTGAAAAACCATTGCTTAGATCCTTGGTTGTGAAAAATAAAACTTTTTCCTTAAACATTTTCTTTTTAGCATGCAGCAGAATTGATTAAAACAGTGGCATCTCGCTATGATGAATATGTCAACGTGAAAGATTTTTCTGACAAAATCAGCCGTGCTCTCTCTGCAGCAAAGAAGGATAATGACTTCATTTATCATGATCGAGTCCCAGACCTTAAAGATCTAGACCCTATTGGCAAAGCCACACTTGTGAAATCTACCCCAGTCAGTGTACCCATCAGCCAGAAATTCACTGGTATGTCAAGTACTCAGATACACTTTAGTATTACTCGTCTTTTCCCCAGTTTAATCTGTTTTCTTTGTTTGGTAGCTAAAATCACATAACTGCTATTGTATGCTTTGAATATGCTTTGCATTCATGTTGTTCAAAACGAATATGAGAGTAAAAATGAAGTGTTGTATCTATAGTGAAAACTCAAGATGGAAAGTAAATGGTAATAAAGCTTATGTAAACTATACAACAGTCAGAAAATTTGAAACTGCATCCGAGTAATGATAGAGACTTTAAGCATTTGTCATTTTGTTAACATTTGTTATATTAGATTCTGCTATTAAAAATAAACATTCATAAACATGACTTTAAACGTATGAACTTACAGTGTCATGATTGTATGAGATAAGTGTTAAAATATCCTTGAATTTTGTAGATATATTCAGTGTCTAGTAGTTTCTAGCTGAGATCCCAAGAATGGTATTCTACATTATTGGGAAAGGCTGATTATTTTACTTATTTCTGTTTAGCATTCAAGATGTGTTTCCCATGTGCCCAGGGATTCTTAAGTACAGGCACTAGCTCACAATTCAGATTCTCACAACAGTCCCATGAGATGGGTACTCTTGGTATCTCCATTTGAGTGACGAGGATATTGATGTACAGAGGGCTTGAATAATTTGCCCAGTGTTGCAGAGGTAGGAAGTGGTGGAAGGAGCTGGAAATCAAACCAGGCACTGTGGACTGCTTAACAAGTGTAATCAACTGTTGAACAGTGCAGATCCTCTTCACCAGAGAAGTCAGTGACAGACACATCTTAAAAAGTTAAGAAAATTAAGTTCAAAGGAAAAGCTTTCATTGACCATGAATGTAGTGATCTAAAAATTCTCCTCATCATTGTACCTTCAGTAGTGATTTAGTTTTGATTTTTAAATATTTGTAGACTTTTTATGTGAATATTGGACAAGGAGTATGAGTGTTCAGTTTACAGATGGCATTTTTGTCTTGGAATTTTGTTGAAATTTACACTCCTTATTTTAGATTTGTTTGAGAATATGGTTCCTGTGTCCGTGCAGCAGTCGTTGGCTGCCTACAATCAGAGGAAAGCCGACTTGGTTAACCGGTCAATTGCTCAGATGAGAGAAGCCACCACTTTGGCAAATGGGTAGGTACAGCAAATGGGTAGGTAAAACTTTAGAACTTTATAGATCTATTTATAAATCTATAAAGTTTTCTGTTTGACTATTACCCTAACTAAATAGCTTATGAACATTTTGGTTTTCTGAGTTTGGGGCTGAGTGTCAAGGGTTGTGAAGTAGGGCACGCACACACACACACACACACACACACACACACACACACACAGCCACTTGCCGTAGATGCTGCATCTATTAAGTCCTAGCAAGTCTGTTTGGTAGCAATTCCATTACTGAAACAAAGCGAGAATTTTTGATCACTAATTCCCACGTTAGGAGGTACTCATTTGCGGGAAATGAGACGTAGAGATGAACTTGTAAGTGAAGATGGAGAACATGTGTTGGAACCCGTCTTTGTTTCTGGTGGATTGAAGAGTCAAAAAATAATCCATTGGCTTTTAAAATCTCTTAAGTATAATTTTCAGTAAAGTACCACAAATAGACCCATTTTAAGTGTATAGTTCAGTTCTTCCTGATCAGTTATACCGTGTAACACCACCACTGTGATCAAGGTGGAGAACATTTCCATCACCCTAAAAAATTCTTTTTCCACATCAGTCCTTCTTCCCCTGGCCCTTAGCCACTGCTGATCTGCTCGCTGTCACTCTGGGTTAGTTTCTCTTTTCATACAGATTGATACAAGCGTCATCATCACAGCATGTGCATTACATTATAGCACATGACATATGCACTGTGCTGTTGCTACAGTGTGTACAGTAGGGGCCCTTCCGGCATGTTCGCACACAGTGTGTGCTCGAGGGTGCTCAGCTACCTGCACTTCACATGTTGTGTCTGAGGACTGTCGGTGCAGGGTGTACCGGTTTGGTCCTTCGTATTAACGGGCAGTGTTTTGTGTTATGGATAAATAGCACTTGATTCTACTTTCACCCGTTCGGAGACATTCCACGTGCTCTGAGCCCTGAGGTGCAAACCGTTGTGTGGACATGTTCGAATTCCCTTGACAGATACCTGGGATTAGAGTTGCTGAGTTGTTTGTTTGGTGTAAGCTGAACGTCCTGCAGAACAGCCAGACGCTTTTCCGAAGTGGGGGTTCCAGTGCACATTCCCAGCTGCACTGTTTGGGAACCCTGCGTCCTTGGCAGCACTTAGTGTTGTCAGCCTTTTTAATGATGTTAGCCAGTTCAGTGTGTGGATGCAGTATCTGATTTGTGGTTCAGTTTATATTCCTGTGATTACTTATGATTCTGAGTAAGTCTTCATGTGCTTAATAGCCATTCATATACCTTTTGTGAAGTATCTGTTGACATTTTAGGCTCATTTTTTTAAAATCGAGTTTTTCTTGTTAGTAGATTTTAGAGCGAGTCCCCTGTCAGATGTATGTAATTGAGGAATTTTTTTCCTAGTTCAGTTTCCTTTTTCATGTTTTAAATTTGATGAATGCATGGATTTTGACCTAATTTTTCCTTTTTCTAGAAAGAAAACGTAAGTTTACCCTAACAACCCCTCCGTTATGTAAATGAAATAACAGAATACTTGAAACTGTGCTACAAAACTGAGAACAGAGGACGATTCTGTGATTACTGCCTAGACCAACTATGTAGTCTTGACGTTCTTCTTAGCTGACATGAAATTAAAACTCTTTTGTACATTATTTCTGACTCATCAGTGACAGTATAGCAACCAGAAGTGTGAAAGAAGTTTGTATTTTTTAAGATAGGGTTTTTGACTTTTAATTTCTTAGACTGAAAGACGTTAAGTTTGAGCTTGGGCTCAAAGTAGCTCTTTTTTTTTTTTTTTTTTTTTTTTTTTTTTTTTTNTTTTAATTTCTAGGAGAGAGAGAGAGAGAGCGTGAGCAGGGGAGGGTCAGAGAGAGAGGGAGACACAGACTCTGAAATAGGCTCCAGGCTCTGAGCTGGCAGTCAGCACAGAGCCCGACGTGGGGCTCGAACCCACTTACCGCGAGATCATGACCTAAGCGAAAGTCGGACGCTCAACCGACTAAGCCACTCAGGCGCCCCTAAAGTAGCTCATATTTTTTAATGTGTATTTGTTACGGTTTGGGTTTTAATTCTGAACTGTGAACTTCATTCTTTAACAGTTTTGTTTTAATTTTATCAATCATTGATTTCGGTTTTTTATTCCTTTATCTTTGCTTTCTTTTTTCATTGATGAGGGTTATCAGCTATTTTTGGGGTGTAAACTCCATTGCTGTTGATTCAGATATATAGGAGATTAATGTTTTAAAGGTGGTTTAGACCTCTGGATGACACAGTGTCTCATTTTTTCAGGGTGTTAGCTTCCCTTAATCTCCCAGCAGCAATTGAAGATGTATCTGGAGATACTGTGCCTCAGTCTATATTGACTAAATCCACATCTGTGATTGAACAGGGAGGCATCCAGACTGTTGATCAGTTGATTAAAGAGCTGCCGGAACTACTACAAAGAAATAGAGAAATCCTAGATGAGGTATGTTTTAGAGATTTGTTTTTCAAGTAACAACTGCTCTACATCTTGGTGTCCAGGTGTTCTTTTGTTGCGTTTCCTAGGGTAATACTCACTGTCTCGATGAATTTACTGGGGCTCAGAGCCTGCCTTTCAACTTCAAGAGGAGTTCTGGTTGAGTGAGAATGGATTCGTACGTGCCTTAAGGGTATGTGAAGGCACATTAATGAGACTCATGTGACCGTCATGTAATGTTGGTGTACTGTGAGAAATTACTGTCACACAAACTGTAGCGTCTTCATTATTAATGGTTTCCTATGAAAGATTAGATTCCTTGGTAAATGTAGAATCAGACTGAGGTGGTTAGGCCACCCAATGTTTGGTAACCCCACTGCATCCGTCTTCCAGTAAGAGAGGGGTTTTATCAATTGGTGTGGAACACTGAAGTTTTTGGCTGAAGTCAGTGCTTGACAGTGTCACTCTCATTTTACAGTGCCTTCACCTCTGTGCCCTCATTGATTCATTTCTTTCTGTAGCAGTAAATATATTCAGATGGTTATAGTGGCTTTTGCCACTTGAGGAGGCACATCTTTCAGGTGACTGCTGTTAATCAGTGCTTTCATCCATACTGTTTTAATTTTCAGTTGACTTGCAGAGAATATTGCATTTACATCATTTCCAAGTACTTTGGGACAGGGACAGTTGACCCTTGACCCACATGGGGCGCTGACCCCCCCCCATGCAGTCAGAAATCCAAGTATAACTTTGGACTCCCCCCAACATAACTACTCATAACCTACTGTTGACTGGAAACCTTACTGGTGACATAAACAGTTGATTAGCACATATTATGCATGTTATAAATATCATATTCCTATATGATATTTAAAGTAATAAATATTTTTTATTTTTTAAAGTAAAAAATGTTATTAGAATCATAAAGAAAATAATAAAAACTTAAGAACCATACATTTATAATATTGTGCTGTAAAAAGTCCACATGTAACCAGACCTACAAAATTCAAAGCTGTGTGATTCAAGGGTCATCTGTACAGTGTGAGTTGTGGGGAGGGGAATATTCACCTCCCGAGGGTTTCCCCCCAAGGATTATCTAAAGTAAAATAGTGAAACCTGTAGCCTATGGAACATAGTATGTGTTTAAGAAATGATAGCTATTACTACTGTTACGATTATATTACTATGATGATGAGCGTATGGTGATTATACTAACCGATACAGAGACGGTGGTGATGGCATATTAGCTATTGGAAAAAGTTAGAAAACTTAAATGAAAACTTACTGTGGTATTGGCCTGGGGAATCTGATTCATGAGTGGTTCTATATTATACCATCAGTGTTACCAACCTCATATATGCAGACGTAGTTAGTAATCAGATTGAAAGCAAACAGAGTTGATGTTCTGTAGTTCAGTGCCAAAGCCTTGCTGTACTGAGCTTGTCAGAAGGGCAGCATCTCAGACCCTCTGAATCAGGATCTGCATTTAACAAGATCGCAGGGTGATTTGTGTGCACGTGAATATTTAACAGACACTGCTCTTAAGGTCATAGACTTTATTCGTGTGAATTCCTTATAGTTCTTTAAAACTTTGTTGATTCTTATGTCAAACAAGCTTGTTATCTGCTGGTGCAATGGAAAGGACTTTACAGCTGTAGATAGATGGAGGGAGAAAAACTTGGACAGTGCTATTTAAGATCGCACGTAAGTGAAAGCAGCAAGAAGTCATTGATAGTGGTGGGAAGACAACACTGGAAAATGCAGGTATCGCAGGCAAATCGCAGTCCAGGGGCATTTAGTAAGAAGTTAGAGTCACAAACCATTCTTCAGTGTTGGGAGTTGTATTTGATTCCCAGGTTTCATTCTTAGCTGTGACCTTGGGCTGATTACTTAATAATTATGTCTCAGTTTACTTAGCCAAAAAAATGGGAGAATAGTATTTATCACATAAGATAGCAATGAAGAGGATCATGCATGTGCCTGCTAGTTAGTAGTTACTTAAATATTACTATATTTCCTTGATTTTAAGATGTCATTGATTAGATGATGCATATTTGATTTTGAAACAAGTATTGTGGAAAAGAACATTGCCTGTAGAAATACTGTAATTCAATGTTGTTGTGAGAAGCATTTTTGTTATAAATGCTAACAAAAATGTAAAAAGTGTAAAAAGCTTACCTTATAAATTACAGAAAACCAGCATTATTAGTGTGTATGGTATATGTATGTTGCCTGCCTGTCTTCACACAAGGTACTTTTATTTATCTTATTTGAGGTTTCTAACAGCCTTGTGAAGTAGTGACTATTACTTTGTAAGTAGGTTGTGAGTTGGGGAGTAGGGTTGTGAAGCTGGTATGCTTTGTGAATGTTCTTCTCTCTGGTAGCTTTTAGAAATTTAGTTTAGTCTTGATTTTTAGAAACATTAAGTGTCCAGTTAGTTTAATTTTTATAACCAGTTTGTCTTTGCTGGGGATCTGTTGGGTCCTTTTAATCTTCCCTCCCTGTCCACAGATTCTCTTGCTTCAGTTACTTCTTTTTCTCCGTTATCTCCTAACGAATTTCTGTTAGATGGGTGGGGTTCTTTTGATGGTGATCAGTTTGCCTGTCTCTCAACATTTCTTTGACTTTTTCTCTTTGTGCTGTCATTCTTTCTGGGAGACTGCCTCTGGCCAGCCTTCTGGCTCATTAATTCATTACTAGCGTGTGCTTTTTGTGCTTTTCGGCCATTCTGTTGAGGTTTTGTTTTTCACTTTATTGATACCTTTTGTTTTCAACACACCTAATTCTTAAAAAAAAACAATCTCCTGTGTTTATTTCACAACTGCATGTCTGTTTTTGAGGTAACATTTGCATAACATAAAATTCATCATTTTAACCTTTCCTGAAAGTGTACAAGAGGGTGGCATTTAGTGCATTCGTCTGGTTTGTGCAAGCACCAGCACTGTCCAGTTTCAGTGTGTCTGCCCCCCTCCCCCCCCATTACCCTCTGCCCCTTGCTCTAGGCGGCTGCTGATCTGATTTTTGTCTCTGGATTTGCTTTTTGTGGACATTTCATGTAAATGGAATCATAAACAGTATGTGTGCCTTTTACCTTCTGACACTGAGCGTGAGGTTTTCAAGTTCAGATCCGAGTTGTAGTGTCAGCACTTAACTCCTTTTTACAGGTGAATAATACTTCATTGTACTCTTGTATCACATACTGTGTATCCACTTACTGGCAGTAGATATTTGGGATGGTTCACTTTTTTGGTTATTAATGATGCTACTTGAGAACATTTTCTTTTTTTAGCACCTGTTTTCAGCCCTTTTCGGTGTTTACAGAGGAGTGGAGTGGTTGGATCATGTAGGAATTCTACGTTCATTTTTTCAGGAACGATTTTCCGGAGCAGCTACCCATTTTCCGTTCTTACAGCAGTGTGGGAAGGTTCCAGTTTCTCTGAATCCTTGCCAACCCTTACACTTGTTCTGTTTCTTCATTCTAGCCATGCTTGTGGCATGAAGTGGTGTCTCATTGTGGTTTTGACTTAACCTTTATATAGAAAATCCTGAAGTTAGTAGTTTGATAGCGTCTGCCCTGCATGTTTAGATCATATTGGGAGTATTGCCAGTCTTTACAATATTAAGTCTTCTAATCCGTGAATACAGATCTATTTAGGTCTTCTTCAGTTTCTTTCAACAGTGTTTTGTAACTTTTAGGGTATAAATGTTGCACTTCCTTGGTTAAATTTATTCCTACGTATTTTATTCTTATTGATGCTATTGTAGATGGAATTGTCTTAATTTCCTTTTTGGATTGTTCGTTGCTAGAGTATAGAAATGCAACTGATTTTGTATGTTTCTTTTGTATTCTGTAACTTTACTGAATTTGTTTACTATTTCTAATGGTTATTTTGTGGATTCCTAAGGATTTTCAGGTAATCTGCAAGTAGAGATAGTTTTACTTCTTCCTTTTTGGATGCCATTGATTGATTGATTGATTGATTGATTGCCCTGACCAGTACAGTGTTGAAGTGGTAAGAGCAGACATTCTTGATTTGTCCCTGATCTCACGGGAAAGCCCACAGTGTCACCGTGCACAGAAGCCCCCAAAGCCTGAAATGGTTCCTCTAGTGTCGAGCAGAGGCGTTGGCAGGTGTCCGCGCCCAGCTGCCGGAGCCCCCGCGCTCGTGTCCGCCGGCGTGCTCGCGCCCCCGCTGGTGCTCTCTTCTCTGATAACCTGCTGAGGGCATCTTTTATATGTCACCTGTGCTTCGTTGTGCCGGGACAGAAGTCTGAATCTTCTGTTTTCATGTAGTTAAATTAAATGTCTTTTTGTTTTGTGTCTGCCTTCTGAGGCTTAAAGGCTTTCTGTTTGTTTTGATCTTAAAAAGAATCTCTGTTTAAAGTAGTTTTGGTGTATGGATGTCCATAATCGCTTAGCTATTCTTCCTTTTTAATTTACTGAGTCAGGTAATGGCTAAACGCAGCCTTACATTTTATAAGACTTTGTGTTAAATATGTTCTAAGTTGGATTTGTGCAACAAAAACTGTTGTACCAATTTGTATTCCAGTAAAGTAGCAGTATTCCCACCTCACTAACTCTCACCTGTATTGAGTCTGATCATTTAAGAGATGTTTTAAATTTTTTACTATCAGAAATGATATTTCATTCTGCTTTGCCTCCTTTTTAAAAGTCATTAAGATTGTTGGATGAAGAAGAAGCGACTGACAACGATTTAAGAGCAAAATTCAAGGAACGCTGGCAAAGGACACCATCTAATGATCTCTATAAGCCTTTAAGAGCAGGTAAAAATGTGCATAAATGGCTTTCACTTGAATAAGTTCTCTGTTTTTTTAAAGATGTTATTTTCGAGTAATCTCTGCACCCAACATGGGGCTCAGAGTCACAACCCTGAGATCAAGAGTCGTATGCTCTTCTGAATAAGGTGCGCAGTAAATTCCCAATTTGGACCCACATTTTTGCTTGATTAAATTAGGGTCATTTGGGGGCGCCTGGGTGGCTTAGTTAAGTGTCCAACTTCGGCTCAGGTCATGATCTCACAGTTCGTGGATTCGAGCCCCACTTCGGGCTCTGTGCTGACAGCTCAGAGCCTGGAACCTGCTTCAGATTCTGTGTGTGCTTCCCTCTCTGACCCTCCCCTGCTCACGTGTCTCTCTCTCTCTCTCTCTCTCTCTCTCTCTCAGAAATAAATAAAACATTTTAAAAAATTTTAAAAATTAGGGTGTTTTTAAACCAGTTGTTACTGAAACTATTACTATGAAAACACAGGTGTTTTTCTTCAGCTCAGTGTAAGGCAATAAATAAGTAACAGAGGTAGTCCGTGTTTATTGTAAGGAGTTCAGATTCTTAAAAATGGTATAAAGTAAAATTAAAGTGATTCTTTGACTCTTTTCCTGTTCCACTGTGCATCTTTTTTTCTTTTTCTTCTTTTAAGAGCATCCCCATAGCCACTAGGCAGATATCAGTGGTCCTGGGAACTGCTATGAAGCTCTGTATATTTTAAAAAAATAAATGAGGTCATATTATATGCGTACAGTTTTATAATTTCATTTCACTTAGTGGTGGGTGGAAAATAGGAGTTTTACCAGTTAATTAAAAAAAATTTTTAAAATATTTATCTTTTGAGAGAGAGAGAGAGAGCACAGACAGGGGAGGGTCAGAGAGAGAGAGGGAGACACAGAATCTGAAACAGGCTCCAGGCTCTGAGCTGTCAGCACAGAATCCGACGCGGGGCTTGAACTCGCAGACCGCGAGCTCATGACCTGAGCTGAAGTCGGACGCTTAACCAGCTGAACCACCCAGGCGCCCCCACCAGTTAATTTGAAGTCAACTTATTATTTTTTAAGACTTTAATTATTAAGATTTTGTGCTTGTTAGATAAATGTCTTTGTGATAGCTCAAGACTTGTTTTACTTCTCTGTAAAAGACATTAGTACTATTGAGATTTTCTAAAAATATATTTGCTGTTCTTTAAAGTCAAGTTGAAGCAGTGATCCTTTGAAAGGGGGATACTTTGTAAGTAAGTTGTAACAATTTTTGGAGTGTTTCTGTCTTAGTGAGATTATAGGAAAAGATTAGACTGATGTCAACTAGCTTTTTTTGGGGGGGGTGAGAGAAAATAACCACAAACGTATTCTAAGGTCTTACTGTGCAGTTCTCCAGAAACAAAAATTGTCAAGAGAGACAGGAGCTCAGTTTCTGTTCTCTAGTGAACAGGGCCCCCCAGAAGAGGGGACAGCAGTACATTTGGAGCACTGAGCCAAAGGTCTGAGCAGCCCACAGGTGTTGCTGTTAGGTCAGGGCTGCGCTCAGGTGACGTTTCCTTCCCCCACAGAGGGAACCAGCTTCAGGTCCGTCCTGGACAAGGCTGTGCAAGCAGACGGGCAAGTGAAGGAGCGCTACCAGTCGCACCGAAACACCATCGCGCTTCTGTGTAAGCCGGAGCCTGAGCTCAACGCTGCCATCCCTTCTGCCAACCCAGCGAAGACCATGCAGGGCAGCGAGGTGAGAGGCTGCGCTTCCGGGCGGGTGGCGTCAGGCCGCCGGGGACATGGCGGACTGACGGTTTCTCTTGGTCATCTTTTCCAAAACGCAGACATGAATTGAGGTTCATAGATCACAGGATGTATACACTGTGTAATATGTAATTACATTGGTGATATTACTGTCCTATGATGGTGATTTCCATTTACTGAATGTTTCCCCTGAGCTCGGTGCTGGATACTCAGTACGTACGTCAGGTTTTATAAAAGGAAGAGGCTGGAAGCATAGAAACTTCCTTGAAGCAGGAGGATTGGGTTTGATCAGATGTCCTTCTGACCACACAGTTTATTGCCCTTTGTTACGTCGTGCTCTACTGCCCTCCACCAGATTCCTGGGGGAGTGTCTCAGAAGGGATGGCCAGCCAGCCGTGTGTGTTAACCAGTGGGTGACGGCAGCGTGGATTTCTGCTTGTGACAGGGAGGGAGCCCATAGTGGGGCATGGGGGTCAGAAAGTCCTGAGGCGAGAAGGTGCAGCTGTGCATTAGTGGCTGACTGCTGTGAGGCGACGGAGTAGAATGAGGTAGAGGCCCTGGGGTGCATAGCAGAACGGGCCAAAGGGCAAGAACTGTTTGCTGAGAATGTCTTGAAATAGGTGACTTTCCCGGGATAGTGGGTCTCAGAAGTTACAGTGTTGTGCCTCGTCTTTCCACAGGAGCATCTCATGTATTTATTCAACCAGGACTTGTTGGGTGCCTCCTTGTAGGGCACTGTGCTCGGGCCTGGGGACAGTCAGATGCATGTCACACAGCCTTCCCCTCAGTTCCCGCCCAGTGTGGGACACGTACACGAGTCCACGAGGGGCTGCGATACAGGTAGAGGCGTGGAAGCGTTGTAGCTACAGAAAGTTCGCTGTGCAGGTTACGTGATGAAGCACCTAAATGCTAGCGTCTCCTAAGAGGCTTCTTAAGGCACTGGCACACGGTGAGAACAGAGCAGACGGGCAGGCAGAGCAGACACACAAACCCCAGAAGGACTGAGTGAGTGGGGGTGTCCAGAGGCACCCCCGGAGGTTCGCTGGAAATGGGCCCCGCAGCAAAGACCGCGTGGTTGAATGTGCACAGAAGCCAGGTCTCTACGGGTGGGGGGACCTGACGGAGCCAGGAGTATCTATTAGGTGCTTTAAGGAAACGGGAGGGAGGAAGAAGGGAGCTGCTTAGATTAATCTGGGAGGAACAGAGACTGCAGACCACAGGACAGCCACAAAGTGGCCCTTCTTTTATTTTCGGGAAGGGAGAATGGCTGCTGCGTATCCGCTTGTGTCCTCCCTCCCGTCCTCCCTCCCGGTTTATTTGTAACTAGTCTCTACCCCCGACACGGGGCTCGAACCTACAGCCCCGAGATCCAGAGTCGCATGCTCCATCAGCCTAGCCGGTCAAGGCCCCTCTCTGCTTTGCCTTTGTGTCGTCTTGTCAGTGACTCAGAACTTACTCGGCCTCTGTCCATTGGTTTCCTGCGTGCAGAGAATTGCGGAGACAGTCTGTGCTGAGCACAGTTGCGTTAGCACGGGCGTGTCACCCTCTGCGGCTGTTGATTCATGGTGGTGGTACAGGGGAGGGGGCCTGGTACGGTCAGCGTGAAGTCCCATCCCCGAGGCCAGATTCTCTGCACAGGAGCAGCAGAAAACGTCAGGGCTCCATGTACCCGTTCGTCGGGAGCCTTTATCAAAGCCATTTCAGATAGCTGTCATCGTAGATGACGTTGTAGCCAGAGTTTTTTATGACAAAAACGCAGTCGTGTGAAATCTGGTGTTAAAGTGATACAAAGTACACATTTTATTAAGGTAGTCCGATCTCAATGGTCGCGCTCTTTTTTCTTTTATTGGGAAGGGGCCTCCTGTCTCTCTTGGTCTCATTGGGCATTTGTTTTTACCTACTGATTTACTCTGAAAAATTTTGCAAGCTATGGGTAATTTGTTTTGAATATTTAGGACCGTGCTGTGATTGTGTGCCTGATCTCCTGGGGTGCAGAATCTTGTCTTCACTTGGTCAGCCGAGGCTTGGCCCTGCCGTAGGGCTGAGTCTGCCCAGAGGAAGGGGCATGTGGGTTTTTTGTGGGGTTTTTTTTTTTTTTTTTTGGTACAAAAGTGATATCCACTTATACTCACAGTATTGTGTCCGCCTCAGGCGATGGAAGGGTGCCTTTGGGAGAAAATCTTCCATCTCCTCAGAGATGGTTCACAAAGTAGCACTATCCAGGGCCATGTATCCTTCTAGGGCTTTTTTCTGGTTCACAGAGTCATCTTCTAGACTACTGGGTGATCAGCAAGTGCAGCTTTTATTTACCCTTAGTTTTCCAGAACAGAAAGCGTGCAGACCGGTGTCGAGATTGACTGACAGCTCTTCATTCATTTACTCACCAAACGCTTGTCGAAGACGTGTTATGTGCCAGAAACAGTGGCCCTGTGGTCCTACGAGAGAGATGGAAACCCCTGGGTAGCCCTGCGTGTGGCCAGGCTCCTGCTGGCCTGTCGTCAGCGTGGTCTCGTGTCCCCTCCTCTGGGCATAAAGCTGTGGTCTCACTGAGTGTGTGCGTGTTGGTGACGTTAGGTGCCACAGACTTTGGGCACTTGCGTGGGCCCGGCGCGTGTGGCCTGCGGGCTCAGTCCAGCCTGCCCACCTGTGAGCCGAGAATGCTTTTTGCGTTTTGAAATGGTTGAGAAAATGATATGAACGTTACATGAAATCCAGATCCTAGTACCCATCATACATGTGTGTGGGAGCAGAGTCGCACTCTGTCCTTTGCGTTTCAAACGTCCATGGCTGCTTTCCCACCAGAAAGGCAGAGCTGAATAGCTCTAATGGAGACAGTGGCTCACAAAGGCAAAACACGTTTGTCTTTTTTCCCTTCCGTCTGGTTCTTCACAGGAGGAGTGTGCGGCAGCCATGGGTCTTAAAGGTGAAGTGATTCAGGTGACCTCATTCCTGCCTTCCTGCCTTTATCGCGTCTCAGCCATTCTGGCCTTTTCTGTTGTTGGTGAAGTTCGTTCCTGCTTCAGGACTTTGACATTTGCTTTCCTTCCGTCGGGGTCTTTCTTCCGTTTTGCTTGGCTCCTGCTTCTTTTTCATTAAAGCTCCAGATGTCCCCCTTTCCCTTTCTTTGTCATTGTCTACCATGTTGCTCTATTTTTGTGTATTTGCGTAATCCTCCCCTCACTTCTCCTGGCCCCCCACATGAAGGAGAGACTTTGCTTTTGTTAGTAGTTGTATTTTAGAACTGAGAACAGTACCCAGCACAAAGGGATTCAAAAGTGTTGATGGAATGATAACCACTGGTAACCTAACTATGAAAGGATGTAGTTAACTGCAGTTGAAAGCTAATTGGAGCTGTTTATGAAACACAGAAAATAAATACCACAGGATTCAAATTATTATTTAAAAAATTTTTTAATTGAGGTATAATTGACATACAGTGTATTTCCGGTGCACACCGTAATGATCCGGTATTTGTTTGTATTGTGAAATGATCATCATCATAAACCTGGTCAACATCAGTCCAGCACGTAGTTATAGAATTGTTTTTCTTTTGTTGAGAACTTTTAAGATCTACTATCAGCAACTTTCAGATATGCAGTGTAGTATTATTAGCCGTAGTTACCATGCTTTCCATCATCTCCACATGACTTCTTTATTTAATTAATGGAAGTTTTGGACCCCCTTCATCTTTTTTGCCCATTCCCCTCCCCGCTTCAGTCAGCCAGCAGTCTGTTCTCTGTATCTGCGAGCTTGGTTTTCTTTTTGATTCCATATAAATGAGATCATGGGGGTATTTGTCTTTCTCTGTCTGACTTACTTTCATTTAGCATAATGCCCTCAAGGCATATTCAAGTCACAAATGGCAAGATTTCATTTTTCTTAATGTTTATTTTGAGAGAGAGAGGGACAGTGCGAGTGGGGAAAGGGCAGAGAGAGAGAATCCCAAGCAGGCTCCATGCTGTCCGCACAGAGCCCGACGTGGAGCTCCATCTCACGAGCTGTGAGATCATGACCTGAGCCAAAATCAGGAGTCCAGTGCTTAGCCGACTGAGCCACCTTGGCAGTCCTTCATTCTTTTTTTATAACTGAATATTCCTCTGTGTGTGTGTACACCGCATCTTTATTCATTTATCCATCGATGAGGCTTCAGGTTTCCATACCTTACCTGTTGTAGACGGTGCTGCATCATTGAACACGGCAGTGCGTAGGGATTCTAATTACTTCTATACTCAAACTTGGTAACACATTAATCCTCAGACTTTGAATGGGTAAGAGATGTAGGCCGTGGTTTACTTTTCTTACTATTCTGGTCATTCATTTGTAGAAGCAGTTTAATTCATTTTCTGCTGTATTCATTCTGTTAAAATGAGGCCAGTATCATACAGTCTAAAATAGGGTTAAACTAGTGTATATGATAGTTTGGGGAAAAAAGAAAAGAATGTTTGTCGTAGAAAGACTGTGTGGGGTGGTCTGAGATTTCATTTATAAGTTGGTTGTTTCAAATGGCATTTTTTTCAGAGAGTTAAGAATCCTAGCATTTTGGAATAGAATAGGACTTACTAAATAGATCTTTAGTCCTTTTTTTTTAATCACTGAGTAGAAAACTGACCACCATAAAAGTTAGGATTAGCTTTTCTTCATAGTGGAGCTGGGATTAGAACTCGTGGCTCTCCACTTTCTGCCGGGGTCCGCTTCACTCTGCTGCCTGTGTACGTACACTTACCTCTTCACTGAAGAGGAGGCTGTGTCCACGTGGGCCCTGTCTTCTCTTAGCTAAGCTTGTTAGCTAAGCTGGGTGCTGCCCCCACAGTTGTGACCCATTATTTGATGAGAGGATCTTAGTTGCTACACTATGGAAGAGATTGCCATCTATTTCTAGATAATAGTGTTATGGTGTCCCTGACTTCCAGCTTTGTGTAGTAGACTGTTTTTTTTCAAACTGGTTTTACATATTCCTGTTTTTCCCTCAGCTTTTTTTTACTTGGCTACTGGCTTGTTTTGGACACAACTGAGAGAAAGATAAGTGGCATTTTTCTAATAGCGAAACAGCCTTCACATAGAGTCAACAGTCATGGTTGAGGTTCCATGATCCCTTTAAAATAGGACAACAGCCTTTTCAGGTCCTGTCCCGTTGCACCCCTCTCCCCCTGCAAGATGTGTCCTGTAATTACAGAAGTAGTTACAGTCCAGCAAAATAAATACTTTAATTCTTAATCTGTTCCTCATTGTTCCTCTCTTCTTCTTGTATAGCTTCGTAAGCCTCGTTATTCTGCAGCGCGCCCAGGCATAGGGTTAGACCGTAAAACCTTCCTGCCAGCTAATAGTAATGGCTGCCACGCCGTTGAGCCCTTACCCTGTGTTACAGATCACTCTGAGCACTCGATACGAACTCTTGCAGTCTCCACAGCAGTTCTGGGCTAGGCACTCTTACTTTTGTTTTGCAGATCGCGAAGTGGAGTTTTCCAGGAGGTACGGTACCCTTGGTTACACAGTACCTAAGTCTTAATGTCCCATGAAGGGAATGCAGTCAGGGCTGAGACAGTTTTTTCTACATAATCATGTTTCACTTTGGTGGATAAGTAGGTACTTGTGTTTCTGTATTCAAGTTTTGATTTAATTTTGTGTTTTGAATGTGTAAAAAATGTTCATAATTCCAGAGGTGCATGCAGAGAAATCTCATCTCTGTTCTTTCTACCTTGTTCCCATTCATTCTCTATAAACAACCTTATTTATTAGTTTCTGGTTTGTCCTGCTTTTCTTTCTTTTTTAAAAAAATTTCATGTGCACACATATATACATAATAGATTATGTATGTACATGTCATTTTTTAAAATGTTTTATTTATTTCTGAGAGAGAGAGAGACAGGTGAGCAGGGGAGGGTCAGAGAGAGAGAGGGAGACACAGAATCTGAAGCAGGCTCCAGGTTCTGAGCTGTCAGCACAGAGCCTGACACGGGGATTGAACCCACGAACTGTGAGATCATGACCTGAGCTGAAGTCAGACATTTAACCGACTGAGCCTCCCAGGTACCCCATTTTTTTTTAAGTTTATGTAAAGAGAGAGAGAGAATGAGTGAGAGTGGAGGAGGGGCACAGAGAAAGGGAAAGAGAGAATCCCAAGCAGGCTCCAGGCTGTTGGCACAGAGCCCAACATGGGGCTCGATCTCACGAACCTGAGAGAACCATGACCTGAGCCAAAACCAAGAGTCAGATGCTTAACTGACTGAGCCGCCCAGGCGCCCATTTCTCACATCTGTCGTCTTATTTCATGTCACACTATATCCCAGAAGTCATTTGGAAACGGGTTTTATGCACCCCATCTAACCTCAGATTCCACTGGGCCCCTGAAACCCACTGCATCTCCCTGAGGCTGAGTCTGTGTCCGCTTCCTTCCACTGAGGGCGCCTGAGGCCTGAGGCTTCTTGCACCTCCAGGAGCCACAGCTCTTCCCACGACTCTGGAGGCTTAGAAGACCCTGCGTTTCAGATAGGACACTTCAGAGGTGTAGGTGGTAAACAGAGGCCAAAAATTAGAAGAAATTTAGATTTTTCCTCCGATCTGTAGTCTTCACAGAGGAAGGTGATTTTGGACATTTGCCACGGAGCTAACGGGCTGTGGTGCAAGGACGAGGATGCCGGCAGCGGGTGGGGAGAGCCATTGGCGTAGGAAACGCCATGGTGAGAGGGCAGACAGGGGTAGAGGGGTCCCTGGGTGTCCCCCTTCCTTTGTCTTTGCCCCCGCCCGCTTCTGAGCATCGTGGGGCCAGCACGACAGGCATTATTAGGGTTGGCGCTCTCCCTGGTGGCCTCAGCAAGCGTGCAGAGTTGTGAGTGAAAGGGACAGTGTGTTAGTGGCAGCAGCGGGGTGCCGGGCACTGTACCACTGACTCTGAAGGGCCGTTTATGAACATGTGGGTGTCAGAGGCTGCCTGGGCTGAGTCAGAGGCAGACTCTAAATGATCCAAAGAGACGTACAGGAAGCCACCCTCCTTTCTGTCTCCCAGTGTGTAAAATACATGCGTAGTTTATAGCTTTTTGTCTACATCCCTGGCTCCCTTTCTCTAAGGTGCTGTCTCCAGATAGATCTGTATCTGTTTCTAGCTGCATGTCTCTCTCTCTCCATCTCCATGCCAGCCAAACAGGGTATCTGCTTACTCAGCTCATCCCTCCCTCTGCCTCAGAGCCATGACAGGGACATGGTGTAGCGTGGTTACGAGATTGAGTTTGGAGTCAGGCAGACTTCAGTCTCAAGTGTTACCTCTGTTCCTTAGTAAGTGTGAAACTTCAGGCAAGTTAATTTTTCTGAGGCTCACTTCCTCTATCTGTGGCATGGAAGTAATACGTGTATACCCTAGTGGGTAGCTTCAGGGTACCGTTGTGTTTGTGAAGTGGTTAGCACAGTCTCTGGCACCTCATACGGATTCATGTAACCCGCCTGCCCAACGCTGCTGCGATCATCCGAGTCCACTAACCGGACAGTGTCTGAGCTAAATAGACCTGATGTACAGTCTGTCTGAGAAGCCATCTCTTCCTGACTCTGACTGAACCTTTGTGTCTATAATTCCTTTCTTGAAATTGGCTTCTGGTGTTTTTGGCAGTTTAAACTAAGGGGTTTTGTTTGTTTTTTCTTTTAATTGTTTAGGTTGTAAATGTCTTAAAATCCTTACTGACTAATCTTGATGAAATCAAGAAGGAAAGAGAAGGGCTGGAAAATGACTTGAAGTCCGTGAATTTTGACATGACAAGCAAATTTTTGACTGCTTTGGCTCAAGATGGTGTGATAAACGAGGAAGCTCTTTCTGTCACCGAGCTGGATCGGGCCTACGGAGGTCTCACAGCGAAAGTCCAAGAATCTCTGAAGCAACAGGAAGAACTTCTTAAAAATATTCAGGTAAAGGTTATTTGCTTTAGTAAGATTTATGTTTAAAAATCACAGAAAGGATAAACCTGGATTAAATCTTTGTCAGGATTGTGTTTTTTGCGAATATTGCACACTAACAGAAATCTGTAATCGTTATGGGTTATGTTTTGATAACCACTGAATTGTGGTATTTTTACTTTAAGAAAAGACTCAAGGTACTGTGTTACCCTAAAATAAATATTATATGAGGTAAATTTCCAGCAATTCCTGCATCTAATCATAGTGATTTTCATATAGAGTTGGGAAAATTATCAATAAAAATGTTATGAGCTATATCAACTTGATAAATGTAAATATATAAATCTTTCTTTTAACAAGGTCTCACACCAGGAATTTTCAAAAATGAAGCAATCTAATAATGAAGCCAACTTAAGAGAAGAAGTTTTGAAGAATTTAGCTACTGCATATGACAACTTTGTTGAACTTGTAGCTAATTTGAAGGAGGGCACAAAGGTATGAAGTACAAAAGAAACAGTAGTTAACCAGTACAGATGTGAAAATATGGTTTCAGAAGTTAATAGTTTTTCCAGTTGGACTGTATTATTCTTTGTCTCGAACTAATGTGCCACTATTTCATGAGAACGTTGAAAAAGGAATTGTATATTTTACCAGAGAATGTAGGAAGTTCAGGTAAAAGGAATTAGCGCAGAGATGTCAAAGCCAGTGACACTTTTTGGGGGGACAGAAAGTTGACCAATTTGAGTGAATTATGCAGGAACAGGAGTAGTGGAAGCTGATCTGTGGTGGGGAGGCGAGGAGAGGGTATGGCTTTTACATTCTGTGCTGCTGGCTTGGATCATGATGGACTTGTTATCTCACGGTACTTACTAAGTATGTTAAGTATTTTCTTGACTTTCCTTTAAGTAGCTTAGGAAATGATTATACTTGTTTTTATCATTTACTTTACTTTGAGGGAACAGGTGTTTTTTCAGTTTTTCAGATACATGATACCTTGTGGTGTTTTAACACCATAATGATTATTGACTACAGTTATCTTAATTCAAATACAGTGGATGGAATGTAAAACCCTCTGAAGAGGGGGTAGAAATACTATGAAGCCTTAGAAATAGGATAGTAAGACACCATTTTAATTTGGTCTAAAATGCTTTGTTGAAATAGACAAGCTGAGAAAATCCCTGAGAGCCTTTGGAATGCCTCTGAGGGGTTCTGAAGTGATGTCTGTATTTCTGAAGTGAATGTGTAATCTAATCCTTCCACTGAAATAGGTTTCCTGTCTTTATTAAGTAGTTGCCTTTTCTCTAGGAATTGGGAACATACTCATGGTCATGAAACTTATAATTTGTCCCATTTAATTTTTGGTGACAGGTGTTCTCTAAAAATGGTCTTATTTCATTGTCTTTAGGGATATTAGGTCATATTTAGTATTAAGTTGTTGAACTTTAAGTGGTGTGACTGTGTCATGCAGAGGATTTTAGTTCTTTAGCTTTAACCACGATTGACAAATGGGCTTTAGATTGTGTTCTTCTTCAGATTAAGAAATCATTCTGTTTTCTTGCTTGTATTTCTTTACTTACAGTTTTACAATGAGCTGACGGAAATCCTGGTCAGGTTCCAGACCAAATGCAGTGATATAGTGTTTGCACGGAAGACAGAAAGAGATGAACTCTTAAAGTAAGTTTATTTTGCATATCAATTTTAGAGTATTTTTCTTTTGAAAAGTTACATGTGTAAGCTTTGGGGTGACCTTGGCAGTCTGCGGCGGCAGTCTTTGTCCTTTCGGCCTGGACTTTGACACGGCGACCGACAGCTGCCCCGTCTGAGAGTGAAGGAGAGAGGGCGGCAGAGACTCCAGGTGTTGGAAGCACAGTCATGTCACCAAAGTGGCAACACGACAGGCCAGGGTGACAGATCCCAGAAATGCCAATAAACATGAACAGTTTACCTGGAAATGGCAAACAGGCTCCTTACATATAGAAGTAGAGGTACAGAATACGGCGAGGGCAGAGCGAGTAGCTCAGGAAGGACGAGCATGTTTCCCTTGTGATGGAACCTGCTAGGAAGGTCACGCCAGCACCACAGGACCCATCCTGCGCTGTGGGGAGGACGTATGGTGTTTTCTAAAAATGGTGAAACATTGAACCAAATTTTTTAAAAATTTCTTTTTTACATTTATTTATTTTTGAGAGACAGAGAGAGACAGAACACAAGTGGGGGAGGGACAGAGAGGGAGACACAGAATCCGAAGCAGGTTCCAGGCCCTGAGCTGTCAGCACAGAGCCTGATGTGGGGCTCGGACCCACAACCCGTGAGATGAGGACCTGAGCCAAAGTCGGACACAATCGACTGAGCCACCCAGGCGCCCCCAAAATGAACCGAATTTAATAAAACCTAATACATGGAGGATAGACACCAGAATAGTCATAGAACAGATGAAAATTCTGAATGAACATTTCATCATGAATTTAAAAAAAAAAGGAGAAAAGGATTAAGAAGCAGTCAGTCTGAGGAACACCACACATGGAAGTACAGAATCAAGGAGGAGGGTGAGAAGACAGGACATGATAAAATATGAGGTGTCAGGATACAGGAAACAAGTAGAAGAGAGGAGAACAAAACCATCTCAGATACAAAATGAAATGGGAAGGAGCAAAAAGGAGACCAGACAGTGAAGAAGACGTAGGCACACAGAGTGGAAATCAAGGAAAATGAAACCAAAGTAAAAAAAGAATTTAGTAAAAAAAAAGTATTTAGAAGACTGTCAGAGAAGCTCCAAATGTGCAAAATTGAATTTCCCGCAAAGAAAAGACAATATTCTTTGTTCAGTGTTCTGTTCAGAACAGATATTTAATGATATTCCTAAAGAACATGTTCCTTTAGGAAAGTAAGTGAAGGCTTGTTGGAATGGTGTGTCTTACGGTTGGGAAACACGAACAAGAACCGTCAGCACCCAGGCCTATAAAAGATAACGGCAGATTAACTGGGCAGAAAGATGAAGACAGTTTCTAAAAAGGTGAAAATGAGTTAGGGCTCCCAGCGCTGCCTGCTGGACGTGAGGGGTCACTGCCCCTGGAGCTCCAGAGAGCAGGTGAGAGCCACGGATGGGACATCCAGTGAGACTGTCCTTCGTGTCCTTCAAGTGTGCACAGCATCCTGCGCACCTCAGTGATAGACACGGAGGACTCAGGGACTCTTCTGTTGCTGAGTCTTGAGCCCTTCAGCCACCCTGACCATTATTCATCCCCTGTCTGTACTTAAACTGTTTTTCATAGAAGTTTTTGGAGAAATTATCAAAGAGCTACCTCTCTGCACCCCTCACCGAGAAAGAGCAGTGTTGTTTTTTACAGTTTTTCTACTAAACCTTTCAAAAGCAAATAATTAAAATGCTTTTGTTTATTAAATTTTTTTTAATGTTTATTTTTGAGAGAGAGAGAGAGAATGCATAGACACACACAGCAGGAGAGGAGCAGAGAGAGAGGGAGACACAGAATCCAAAGCAGGTTCCAGACTCGGAGCTGTCAGCACAGAGCCCGACGTGGGGCTCGAACCCACAAACCACGAGATCATGACCTGAAATGAAGTTGGATCCTTAACTGATTGAGCCACCCAGGTGTCCCTGAAATGCTTTATAATGGTTTCAGAGGTTTAAAAAAAATAACCCTCCAAGTTAGTCTTATTGATAAGAAAATCTGACAAAGATTAAGACAAAACAGTCTTCAGACCAGTTTTATATATGAATATGGATGCAAAAGTCCTAAAGAAAATACCTACCAGTATGTTAGAAAAAGAACCATGATCGGGGGGATGGAGGTGGTGATTCCAATAATGCAGTGACTGGTTCAGTATTTTTATATTAAGGAGAAAAGCAATTGAGAAAATAACTGTTTTGGTATTCAGTAAGATAGGGTTGTGTGTGTGTGTGTGTACACTCTGATCTATCTGCACAGAACTCAGCATCATGGTTAATTGGAGAAACAATGTAAACAATCCTTCTAAAAAGCTAGGACAAAATACCATCCACACAGCTATTTAATACTATATTGGCAATACCAGCCAGCACAATTAGACAGTAGAATAAAATTAGAAATACTACATTCAGACTTTGTGATTGTACAACTTGAAAGCCCAAGAGAATCAACCCAAAAAATCTGCAAATAATAGAAGAATCTCTACTGAAGACAATTGATCCTAAGGATGATTTGTAGAAATCAGTAGCTTTCATATAGAAAACATAATGGAGGAAAAGACCCTACTTACACTAGCAACAAAAAAGATTTGAAAGGTGTGTCATGGTTTTGGGTAGGATGACACTAGTCAGTTCTTATGCATTCAGCAGAATTTGATTTAAAGTAAATACGTAGATTTTCATTTACAACCAGACAACTTGATCCTAAAGGTCATCTAGAAAACTGACCAACTGTTATCCAGGAAAACCGAATAAAAAAGTAATGGAAACTAATTCTACCAGTCACTAAAATATAGAATATCGTGTCTAATTAAAACATAGTGGGGGTGCCTGCGTGGCTTAGGTTAAGCGTCCGACTTCGGCTCAGGTCATAATCTCACGGTTCATGGGTTCAAGCCCTGTGTCGGGCTCTGTGCTGACAGCTAGCTCAGAGCCTGGAGCCTACTTCAGATTCTGTGACTCCCTCTCTCTCTGACCCTCCCCTTCTCACGCTCTCTCTCTCTCTCTCTCTCTCTCTCACAGAAATAAATAAAAAACATTAAAAAAAATATAAAAAACACAGTGATACTAGTACATGATTAGACAGACCAAAGACAAAATAGAAATCGATAAATACTACATTGTGAATTTAATGTAAAAAAGATCCTAAGCCTAGTCATTTAGAAAACAAAAGTTATTTTTATACCAGAATAAATTCCAAGTGGGTCAAACTTGAAATGTGTAAAATGAAATGTAAAGTTTACAAGAGAATATGAGAGAATTGTTTTATAAAGCTGAAATGGGAAAGGTCTTTCTTATTCTGACTTAACATTTGGAAGCCATTTAAGAAAAAAGATAGGTGCATCATAACATAAGCAGAGTTATTATGTAATAAACTGGGGGAAATATTCGAAACCCACTCACAGAGGTAAAAGGCAAATTTATTAATTTATGAAGAGGGGCGCCTGAGTGGCTCCGTTGGTTGTGTGTCAGGCTTTGGCTCAGGTCATGATCTCACAGTTCATTAGTTGGAGCCCCACGTCGGGCTCTGTGCTGACAGCCCAGAGCCTGGGGAACCTGCTTTTCGATTCTGTGTCTCCCTGTCTCTACCCCTCCCTTGCTTGCCCTCTGTCTTTCTGTCTGTCTCTTTCTCTCAAAAAGAAATAAACATCAAAAAAATTAATTTATGAAGAACTCCTAGATGTTACCGAGGAGGAGAAAAACCCATTAGAAAAAGTTGGCAAAGTCTGTGAACAGAAATTTTGCATTTGAGGAAATGTAAGTAGTTGGTTCTTGAGCGTAGGAAAAAATGCCTTCCTGGGGTGCCTTGCTGGCTTGGTGGGTAAAGCATGCAGCTCTTGACCTTGGGGCTGTGAGTTCGAGCCCCACATTTTGCCTAGAGCTTAGTTTAAACAAACAAACAAACAAACAAAAACCTGCCCTCCTTCAATATAATGTGACTATAAGTTTAAAACTACTCCAGAATATCACTGCTCAGGATGGCAGAAATCTGGAGGTCTGAGAGCATGCCTTGTCGGCCTGTGAGGGGGACTGGGTTCATCCACGCATGTCGCTGCCATCCTTGCCTGGGGCTCTTTCGCTCTAATGGCCTGCGTTACAAAGCCGTATACCCTTAGCGCAGCTAGTCTGGTTTTGAGAATCTACTCCGAGTGTGTGTTCGAGTATGCTCGAAATGACACATCTACCAGCTGATTCATTTCCGAGTTGCTTGTAGCAGGGAAAGAATAGAAACAAATCAGATGTCCAGGACAGGTGAGATAAATAAGGCTACATCTGTGCAGCTTTTTTTTTTTTAATATAAAATATCAGCTATTTGAAAAAAAAGAGGTTTTCTATTTATTAATATGGATATTTATTGATCTTGAAGATAAATAGTTATGGTGCAGAAAAAAGGTATAGAACAGTGTAAAGTATGCTTTCTTGTGTAAAAAGAGAACATTACATACATTCGAGTTGGTTTATTTATGTGTCAGGAAGCTCTGGACAGTTTCCTAGGAAAGAGTAGTGTGTCTCGGGGGGTGTGAGTGGTGGGGAGGGGGCTCGCAAGCAGGGGCTTTTGACTCTTTTTATTTTGAATCAAGTGAAGAACACATTACCTTTTCAGAAAGTTCTATGAAGGTCAACTGAATAATTAATGGGACTGCGTATGTTTTTATTGTCACATTCGAGTAGTCTGATGTTTATTTTTCAGACTGTACAGCTAAATTATCAGATTCATTCCCTACTGCCTATTACCGCCCCCCCACAACCCCCTTATTTTAAACTGCAGAGCCCTTTGCTCAAGCTTAGTGTTACAGAGAAGCCCAGTTTGTAAAAAGATAAAAACGGGTCCAGCTCCAATGCAAGCAGGTGAGGGGCTGGGAGCAGGACCTTTCGCCCGTCTTTTCTTTCCTTCATCCAAGCAGCAGCCGTTGAGCTGACTGTACACAACCCTTAAAATCTGTAGCTCAGGACCAAGTAAGAGCCAAAAAGAGTCTCTGAGTTTAGATTGGAGGGGGCCAGACTGTAGCACCAGGGTAAGTATTTTTCTAAGTAAAGTTTTCCTGGAACACAGCCGTGCCCTTCATGTTGTATGGTCCGTGTCTGACTTTGCACTGACATCAGCAGTCTTGAGTATTTGTGACAGAAACCCTGTATCCTGCAAAGCCTAAAATGTGTACTTTCTGGCTCTTGACACAAAAAATTTGCCAGCCCTGGTTGAAATAAATTTTTGTCCATGATAATTTCTAGTTGTACTCTTAGTTTCTCCACTTGAACCTTCAGTGTAAAATGGGCTAAAGTAGTTTTTAGAATTGGGTAGTATAATAGAAGCTCATGGCTTATGAAGAAATTTGGGGATATTCTCCTTTTCAAATATTTCCTATTGCAAATCTCTAGCTTGAAAATTAGGTTTGTGGGGGCACCTGGGTGGCTCAGTCATTTAAGCGTCCGACTCTTGATCTCAGCTCAGGTTATCATTTCATGGTTTGTGGGATTGCGCCCCACATTGGGCTCTGTGCTGACAACAAGGAGCCTTCTTGGGGTTTCCTCCCTTTTTCCCTCCCTCCCTCCATCTCTCTGCCCTTCTCCCCTTCTTTTCTTCTCCCTCTCTCTGTCCTCTCTCTTTTTTAAAAAAAATTTTTTATAGTTTATTTTATTATTTTTGAGACCGAGAGAGACAGAACATGAGTGGGGGAGGGGCAGAGAGAGAGAGACACACAGAATCTGAAGCAGCTCCAGTCTCTGAGCTGTCAGCACAGAGCCTGACGTGGGGCTCGAATCCACGAACCGTGAAATCTTGACCTGAGCTGAATATTTCCTATTTCCTGATGACTAATAGGTCCTCTCATAAGTGTGCAAAAAGAATAAATATTTTACTCTGAACTTTACCTTCTTTACACTAATGATTTATTTTGTTTATTTATTTATTTATTTGAATTTCTGAGAGAGAGAGAGAGAGAGAGAGAGAGAGAGAGAGAGACAGCATGAGCAGGGGAGGGTCAGAGAGAGAGGGAGACACAGAATCTGAAACAGGCTCCAGGCCCCCAGCTAGCTATCAACACAGAGCCCGACGCGGGGCTCGAACCCACAAACCGTGAGATCATGACCTGAGCCGAAGTCGGATGCTCAACTGACTGAGCTACCCAGGCGCCCCTATGCTAATGATTTAAAACTAATGTTAGTAATGATAGTTGTTGGCATGGAAATATTGGTGGGATTTTATTTCACATATTCTTTGTAATGTTATTAGTCTCATGATTTAATAGCTTTGAATCATACAATTAGTGAGTAGCTAGGAAATTCTCATTTGTCCTGCAACTGTGTTATGTATTCCAGCCATCTCTGGAGTCTATCAAAGGAAAATGAAAGTATTATGTTAAGGTTTTATAATATAATTACATATGTTAGATATTAAATTTGCAGTATACTCAGATATCTAGTTGTAATTATATAAACAATTATAGTAAAACAGAATATTAAATATGATTAAGTATATTTGGTATATGTATCAGCTAAATATACACATAAACATTTCAAAAATTTCAAAATTTTAATGTTGAGTAAAATCTAGTTTGTGTTGTCAGCATTTATTAAACTTAGAAACATGAAGAATTATTTTTGGTTTCTTGACGAATGTGTATTAACTTTCATAATATAGGTAGTGACTAATTTATCTTCCAACTGGGACCCTTTATGGGAGTGAACGTGTGGTCCGGGGGCTCCGGGGTTGCGGTTAATCAGCACCTCAGGACAGCAGGTGCTGTCACACGCATGTGGGACATGCTGTGTTTACTGCACACACAACATGTTCACACACAATACATGATTTATGCAGATCCGTGCTGGGGAGAAGTTGATCAAGACCCTGTTGTTTCATAGAGCGCATTTTACCTTAGGGTTTGGTTAGTGAGATTTTGGGATGGATTCCATTTTTCCTAAGTTTTAATTCTGCATTTTAATGGTCCTTTCAACAATCGGTCCTGCATTTACCTTAATTATAGATTATGAAGTGTCTTTTAACATAAAATAGCTCAGTGCTGCATTTCTTTGATAATTTCAGAAAGTTTTTATGAAGAAATTTGTATCATGCTTTGAATAGGTTAGCTTTCTTCGTTTTCTGTAAACACTGGCATGATGCAATGATTAAATGCCAGTGGGATACAGCTCACCGACTGTGAGCTGTTTGATTTTCTGAAAACTTTTAGACAGGCCAGCACATTAGGAGTGGCCCCTCTGGGGGTTGACTTCTTTTTTCTTTTATTTTTTAAATTTAAAAAAATTTTTTTTTAAATTTATTTCTGAGAGAGAGAGAGAGGCAGCATGAGCAGGGGAGGGTCAGAGAGAGAGGGAGACACAGGATCTGAAACAGGCTCCAGGCTCTGAGCTGTCAGCACAGAGTCCAATGCAGGGCTCAAACCCATGAACCGTGAGATTATGACCTGAGCCAAAGTCGAACACTTAACCAACTGAGTCTCCCAGGCGCCTCTCTAGGGGTGACTTCTTACCAGAGAGCGGGCAGTCCTTTAGGACCGTCTGCCCCATTTGACATGTTCCTTACTGTGGCTGTAACTGCGACCTCTGAAAAAGTTTACCTTGTTTCCTAGGAAGAAAAATCATACGAAAGAAGATTTAAGTTAGTTCTAGTCAAGAACAGAAATGTAGTGTATTTTAAAGCACCATCATTGTTTTGGCTCTATTTTCTATGTTTCATATATGAAGAGAAGAAACATTTTATTAAAAAAATTTTTTTAATGTTTAATGTTTTTGAGAGAGAGAGAGAGAGAGAGAGAGACCGAGCTCTGGCAGGGGAAGGGCAGAGAGAGAGAGAGGGAGACACAGGATCTGAAGCAGCTCCAGGCCCTGAGCTGTCAGCACAGAGCCTGACGTGGGGTTGGAACTCAGGAACTGGAAATCATGACTGAGCTGAAGTTGGATGCTTTAACCGACTGAGCCACCCGGGTGCCCCTTGAGAAGAAAAATTTTAAAAAGAACCAGTATTTTAGATGTGTTGTTTTTTGAAATTGTGTTAATTCCTAACACCTTTGTCTTTAAGGGATTTGCAACAGAGCATCGCCAGGGAACCCAGTGCCCCCTCAATCCCGACACCTGCATATCAGTCCTCCCCGGCGGGGGGCCAGGCTCCGGCTCCAGCGCCGCCGACGCCCGCGCCCAGGACCATCCCGGTCAGTACCCAGCCATGGTCTTTAAGTGGACCTCTCACCTTAGGGACTGTGTGCTCTGCGTGAAGGAGGAACAAGCCATGCTGTAGAGGTCTGGCGGTTTTCCCGAGGTTTTCCCGAGACCCCCCTTCTCCGGTTTGCAGCACGAAGAATCCGCGTCGCCCACGAATTCTTGCCAGAAGACGTTTCACTTGAGTCTGATCAAGGCTTTAGAGCCACCTTTCAGTGTATAGCAAATACAGCAATAAAGCGAGGAGCTAAATTGTGCCGCTTGGGAACAACTGTGCTGACCTAGAACTGGGACTTTCTGGGAGGCCCTTGGCTTTGTCTTTTCTACGAGTGAGAGAATGGGTGTGGGGCATTCTGCTTTGAAAGACAGGGAAGATTCATCGCAATCCTGCCATATATGAGCCTTGGCTGGATCTTGATTCATAAAACCTCTTCTTTAAGAACTTTTTATTTTGTGATAGAGAAACTTGAATGTGGAGTGTGGACTCCGTGGTAGGAAAAGTCGCTCCCTTCGTTAGGCAGCCTGGCTGCCGTCGGGAGGGCTGGCTGTCACTGCAGAGCACTTGCGTGTGGTCACGTGTTAGTAATGATGGATGTAGCTGATAAACACGTGCCTGTCTGTCACACTAGTCTTCCAGGTGTTCTGGCATTTGTGGTGTCCACATAGGAAGCTGCGCGTCCTGGAGGCGGCACAGGAATAAACTGCCCCTGACGAGCTCCGTCGCCCCGTCTCAGATGTGTTACCATGGGTGGGAGCAGTCGTAGGCAGTAAGTGACCAAGCGTTAGGCCCCAGGGACCGAGCAGTGGCAGTAGAGTCCCAGCAGACTGGAGTCATTCCTGAGCTGTGAGGCATTTCTAGGGCACTAAGTCAGCATTTAACAATGGGAATTAGAAATCTATTTGGGTGGGTTCCGGGGTTTCTCATATGCCCTCATTTATGTTAACAGCAGTAATTTGATGGAAACCCTCTGTCTTGCAGCCCGCCAAGCCCCAGCCCCCGGCCCGGCCTCCGCCCCCTGTGCTCCCGGCAAACCGAGCTCCTCCTGCCACCGCGCCAGCCTCGGTGGGGACGGCCCCTGCTCCGCAGGCACCGCCGCACGCCCCGGCAGGGACGGCCCCCGCTCCGCAGGCCCAGGGCCCCCCGTACCCAACCTACCCAGGGTACCCCGGGTAAGGCTGAGACTTCTTTCTTTTTTTTTTTTTTACAAATAGTTTATTGTCAAGTTGGTTTCCATATAACACCCAGTGCTCATCCCCACAAGTGCCCTCCCCCATGCCCATCACCCCCTTCCCTCCCCCCCACATCCATCAGTCCTCAGTTTGTTCTCAGCATTCAAGAGTCTCTCATGGTTTGCCTCCCTCCCCCTCCCCCCCCATTTTTCCCCTTCTCCTCCCCCATGGTCCTCCGTTAAGTTCCTCCTAATCCTCCTATACGTGCAAACATATGGTATCTGTCCTTCTCTGCCTGACTTACTTCACTCAGCATAACACCCTCAAGGTCCATCCATGTTGCTACACATGGCCAGATTTCATTTTTTCTCATTGCCATGTAGTATTCCATGGTATAGATATACCACATCTTCTTGATCCATTCATCCGTTGATGGACACTTAGGCTCTTTCCATGTTTTGGCTGTTGCTGAGAGTACTGCTATGAACATTGGAGTACATGTGCTCCTGTGCATCAGCACTCCTGTATCCCTTGGGTAAATTCCTAGCAGTGCTATTGCTGGGTCATAGGGGAGTTCTGTTGTTAATTTTTTAAGAAACCTCCACACCGTTTTCCAGAGGAGCTGCACCAGTTTACATTCCCACCAACAGTGTAGGCGGGGTGCCGTTTCACCACATCCTTGCCAGCATCTAGTGTTCTCTGATTTGCTCATTTTTCTGCTTAACCTTTCAAAGCAGAGTCACCCCTTCTCTGAAGGGAGGCGTCATGAATGAATGAGCCACACTGTCAGCTGACACAGCGATAGAAATGATGGTAGAGTTGCTTATTTGAGTGATTGAACAGCTCTTTCCCAGGCTTAGTTATTTTTTTTAGTTTCTACATGCTGGCTTCAGAGGAAATCTGTCTCCTGTATGGAATGCAGACTTTCCTTGTCTGTCTATATCAGGACAGGCACCTCTCCTGAGCTGATCCTAGCAAGCCCAACAGGACCTCATCATGTGCCTGTACTGCGGGATTGGCCTTCTGACCCCGTCTAACACGACTCTGATTGTCGTGTGCACTTTCTTAAAGAACAGCTTTCTGTGTGATAATCTTTTAATCTTAAAAATCCAGACATTTGACTGCCTCTTAAGATGTGCTCCAAACTTTACTTTGTTAGTAAGTACATTCTGTCTTCTAAATACTAAAACTTTGTAAACAGGGGCGCCTGGGTGGCTCAGTCCGTTAAGCGTCTGACTTTGGCTCGGGTCACGATCTCATGGTTCGTGGGTTTGAGCCCCGCGTTGGGCTTGGCTGCTGTCAGATCCTCTGTCCCCACCCCTGCCCCTCTACCCTCCTCAAAAGTTAATAAACATTAAAAAAAAAAACCTTTGTAAACAGTAAATTTATGTCCATCATAGTGAGTATTGAATCTTGTGAATTAGGAATGTAATTAGCTTACCACATTAAAATGAAGGGTCTCCATTTTTATTCTTTGTTAATAGTTGAATATTTAGACTTACTTCTATCAACAGTGCTATTTTCTGGGTAGTGTTAAGCACTGGGTATTCTTTCATCTCCGTCAGGATAGGAACACTTGTCTTTAACTGCTGCTTTTCTTCCCACTGTTGACTACTAGACTGAGAAATAGAGAAATACGACTTTCTTGAGAAACTCGGTTTTAGAATAATGACTATACGTCTCGCTTTCTAGTGTGTGATGTACCAATGCGTGTTTTTGTTTGTTTTCTTCCCATCAGGTATTGCCAAATGCCCATGCCCATGGGCTACAACCCGTACGCCTATGGTCAGTACAGTATGCCGTACCCGCCGGTGTATCACCAGAGCCCCGGACAGGCTCCGTACCCGGGGCCCCAGCAGCCATCATACCCCTTCCCTCAGCCCCCGCAGCAGACTTACTACCCGCAGCAGTAACACGCCAGCCCGGCAGGTCGACTGGCTCAGTTCAAGGGGAAGGAAACGGCAGCCCTGCAGTAAGTGCACTAAAGTCCGTGCTCTGGTCACAGCCACGCGCCCTGGTGTGCGGAGCACAGTGTACAGCATCTGTCTGTGGCTGCGAGCTGAAGCTGTGCCCAGTCCCCCGTCTGACTGCACGCTCAGAGGTGCTGCTGTCGCAGTGTAAACACTATAATAGGTATAATAGGATTTGAGATAAATTACATTTCAGTTCATCAGAGTTGAAAAATGAGAAATTAAACCCACAAGTGAAACGTTTGAAATGATTATACTTCTGTCTACATGAGACCTCTGGTCGGGACGTCAGATACTTACAGTGAGGGTTCAAGTGCTGATATGCAAGGAAACTACGTTCTCTTTCTCTTTTGGTTTATCAGTTTGGTTTAATTTCCATTATACTATTTTGCATAATCAAAGCATTGTAAATCTTATAATTTAAAAATAAATTACTTAAGAACAGTTGTCATTGTTATGTTTTGTCATTGATTCTCATTACTGTCTAATTTCTTTCTGGTATTAGTCTCTCATTTTATATGTATATGAGTTAAACAGATAACTGTGTCTAAGTGCATGATTAGTGCAAGTTAATAGTCAGGGTTATAGGAAAACCAAAAGAATAGTACCGTAATTTATCTTTTCATATGCTGATCAGTGAATTAATTTTGACATTTATTTTGAAAAGCCCTATAATGTGGAAGAAACACAATCGCTACCAAAGATTCTTCAAATAAATATACAAATAAATATGTATAAAGTTTTATTAGCTTCTCCAAGAAATTGATACAAATTCTGAAGGTAATTCTTTCCTTTGCTTTTTTTTCATAAGCTGGTTAAAATAAATACATATCATTGACAGTATTGTCTAATGTAATGGAATTGTTTAAAGAAAATTTACTGTACCCCTGGATTCCTATTTTCCACCTTACTGTCTTAATTTAGTAACATTTAATGCACAATGTATATGACTAGATCTAAGCCCTTTCATTTTTATGCTCGGAAAGGATGAGACTATTTTCTAATTCAGGGAGCACACAAAATAGTTGTTGGGAACATATGCCGATTCTGGAGTAGGCTGAATATTTAATATTAATCTCTGCTGTTAGGATAACCAATCACTGTATAAACCTCAGTAAAAACAGTGAGACTTGCATCCCAGAGCGAGTAAATGAGGAAGGAGCGAGTTGTTGCAGAGCGGGGTCTGCTCTGCGTGAGGCTCGTGAACCCCTCAGGCACAGGAGCAGATTTCCAATGAGTCCGTTTATGTTTATTTTCTCAGTTTTAATGCTCACCTTTTCTTGCATTATTGTTTCATTTAAATGATACTGTCGTTTGGTCCACTGTTATTCTCTATTCTCACTGACAGTTTGGGTTTATATTTTAAATGTTGGATTGAAGGTATGATTGTAAAAGGGAGTGAATTGGTTTAAAAATATATGTACATTATAAAAAAATCTTACTTTGTTGTACGTAGAAAACATGAAGGCATGTTACTTTACTACAAATGACTTTTCCATGGAATATTGAAATTGGTTTAAAGTCCAGTAGTTAAAACCTTGGCAAAAGTAGTTTTTTACATAGCCTAGCTGAATTTTATTAATGTGGAATCATCAAAGTATGGCATAGGCTTGTTTGACTCTTATGTAAAAGCCATTGAAGTTCTACATTCTTACTATTCAAGGTATCGTATACTGACCCGAGCTGCCCAGTGAGAAGCAAGCGTATATTCCAAATTGCTGGTTTATTATTCTTACTAGTGCAGAATAAACGAAAACCAATTGGCCTGAATATTCTCTTGGGGAAAGAAGGCACTAAGAGGGAGTGCATCAGACAGGAGTTACCAGGCCCTTCGGCGCAGACCTTGTGCCTCGGGGGCCTGCCCCCAGGGAATCACTGGAAGACCGTCTGGACACTGGCGGGGACGGCCCGCAGCCCTGAGTGGCGGCCCGTCCAGCCTGCCGAGCTGCTCGAGGCCTTTTCACGCGTAACGCACCCCGCCCCCCTCCTGTCCGTCCACGCATCCGTTAGATAACCGAGGGTAGTTTCTTCGGTCAGCTGTGGTGGGGCACCGATGACCACATTTCTGCAGCCTTTCACGGCTGGGTCTGTCTCCATGGCCTTTCTGACTGCAGCAGGCTGGCTTTTGGAAAGAAGTTTTCTCTGACGTCTGTTTTGGGTTCTAGCAAACGAGGGAAGCCCTCACTGGGATTATTTTAGTTACCAAGCTTTTTTGTCCTTTGCTCACCTTCTTCTAGTCCACAGAACACTCTAACAAGTTGTCATGGACAGTGCTGTTTAATGGCAGTGTAACTCTGGTGCAGATACGATGTTACCTATGTTCTTAATTAGGCTTTTTGATTCTTTCTCCAAACTAAAGAAACCATTCCCAGACCGTTTATGTTCGGGTCTGGAATACTGTTTTTATTTTTTTTTCTTTTTCTTTTTTTAAATGTCTTTATTTTGAGAGACAGATAGAGAGCGAGCAGGGGAGAGGCAGAGAGAGAGAGAGGGAGACACGGAATCTGAAACAGGCTCCAGGCTCTGAGCTGTCAGCACAGAGCCTGACTCAGGGCTCTAACCCATGGACTGTGAGATCATGACCTGGGCCGAAGTTGGACGCTTAACCACTGAGCCACCCAGGCGCCCCTGGAATACTGTTTTTAAGTGGGCTGTGTGAAGGAGCTGGTCAGAAGTGGGGAAAAGCCTCACGTCTCTCATTTCTCGTTCCTAGTTGGAGACAGATGGCTCGACTTCTCGGTCTGGTGTGAAGTATCGGCCTGCTCCTGTGTCCCTTGGGCTTTATTCTCAGTTAAGAAAAAGACCTACGTCACTGCAGATCAGTCAATCATTGTGAGATGGTCCTGTACCCATACCCCTACCTTCTTTGCAATTTACAATCTCTCCCTCCCTAAACGTAAGAAGTTACCAGAAAAAAATGAATAAGATTTTACAGAATCTTGTGTTCCTGACATTTTATCCCAGTCAGCAGCTTTTCTGGTCAAAACATTTAAAAAATGTTTTCCATTAGAGCTTTACAAAGTTTGCGAAAGTGCTTTATACACATTTTCTAATTTCACAAACATGATAAAATGCAATTTATTAAGTAGGTTTCAGTTTGCTAATGGGTTTCTTTTTCTTTTAATGATCAATATGTCTTGAGGAATCTTGCTACCGCCTAGTGGCATCCCTCCCTTTTAAACACTTCTGCAGTTATTAGTTGGCTCACAGTACAGAACAGGATACAAAGCAGGAAGGGAATGCTATAGTGTTACAATTACTAGTTTAAAAATACACTTTAGAACTACATGGTTGATTATAAGATTTACATGGAAGAGCTAAGAAGGAAAAATTATATTTTTAAAGAAAAAGAGAATATTCAGGCTTTATTTCTGGTATGAAGTTTATATTTTTAAAGAAAAATCCTATATTATCACACCAGAGATTTTAGATTCTTTTCTGGTTACAAACATTGCTGGTAGTTGGATTATATTTTTATTGTATTCATTTCTCTTAGGGGGAAAATTGTAAAGCAACAAAAAGGTTCCAGATGAATGTATCCTAGAAATAAAAGTTGAAAGATTCTTACTTGCTTGGAGTATGAATTCTTATTTGAAGTGTTTATCCTTCAGCTTTATAGTTTCTGCAGTTTATTTGACAAATGGCGGTCCGGTCGGGGAAATAAGACAATACCCACTTGGAGTAAATGCATGAGACTGTGTTTAAGTGTTTTCTCTCACCTGCCAGCCCCGTACTTGATCATGGTTGGACCATGTTCTTCATTACTTATGATTTGCCCCAGTTCTTTAAGATGAGGAATCTCAAGTGTTACTTCTTTGGGTTGATTTTTGGAAAATGTTTGGCATGTTCTCATGTTCAGTGGCCTAAGGAGAGGGGAGATGGTGAGATGTGTTCATCTTTCACTTTTAAATCTTTTGCAATGTGTTCATCTTTTAAAATGTGTATTTTCTTCCTACTTCTCCATGTTTTAAAGTCAGATGCAGCTGTTTTATTATGTAGCTCACAACCCACAGTTTATCAGAAAATCTGTCGATTTTGTATGTCTTCCAAATTTGTTGAAGTTGAACAAGCTAGCTCCCGGGATCCTTGTTACAGAAATCTTAAATATATCCCGAATGGGCATAGTGATTTGGAACACTGATACTTTTATTTTCTCACTCTCCCTCCCCGCACCCCCCATCCTCAGCCAAATCTTAACCTTTTTTAAAACAATTATTTTTATAAGTGGGGCTTAGACTTACATTATTATTCTTAGATCCTCTCTTGATAATAGTTGGCCTTTGCTTTTAGTCTGTTTTTGATTTTCATTCAGTTTTACTCAATTTACAAAGTCTGTAGACATGGCATAGCTTGGGCTCCTCCCTTCCTCCTTCTTGGGGTGGCCTTTGAGCATTTAGGGTGTTTGATCTCGCTGTGTCTCTTACATCCAGTCCGCTGGTCCTCCAGCCTTGTGGCTCCTCTGTGCCCAGGAAGCACCGTTTGCAGACAGGGCGCCCCCTGAGGGGCCGATGCTTTCTTTTTGTACCAGCTCCTGGAAGAAGGGATGAGGAAGAACCTTCACCCCTTCCGCCTTCACCAGCCACCATGATAGACTGGGCTGCGTAATACCTTCTTTTAAAATTAGTACCCTTTTTGAATAAGAATATACATACACGGTATCCATTTCAAAGGGTTTTCTTCTCATGTGGTAAGAGTCTCTCTTACCCAGTTCCTCCCTCGGAGACCGTCTGCTATCCGTCCCCACGGATTCGCCTTGTCTTCAGGTTTGTTCACTCCCAGGAGCAGAGGAGGTGTCCCCTCCTTCTGTGGAAGGGATGCAAGTGAATTGTGACAGTTGGATCTCAAACCAAAATCTGCCCTGGCTTTTCCGTCTTTCATGGAGACCGAAGACTGCATTTTTAGCTGGAAACCGAGACTCAACTCGAAGTGCAGCTACGCCTGGCATTGGCCTTGAACGATCACTACTCTTGAATCCCACTCTGCCTGAGGGGTTTGCATAACTACCTAGAGCGTGTCTGAAATTTGTGACAATGTTTACATTTCAGATAATTTTCCAGCCTGAAACCTTAACATTGAATCATGTAAAACAGCCACACCTGAGAGAGAGAACAGAGCATAAGCATGTTTAATTTTCTTTTTTACTCCATGGAGGCAGAATAATGGCCTCTCACACTCACCTGTGTCTCTTCCCCCCCTCCCCAGACCTGCAAGTGCATTAGGCTGCATAGCAAAGGAGGCTTACGGCTGTAGGTAGAGTTAAGGTTGCTACTTTGCTGACCTTAAAATCGGAAGTTTATCCTCAGTTTGCCCGGTGGGCCCAGGGTAGTCACAGGTTGCTTAAAAGTGGAAGAGGGAGACAGAACAGGGAGAAACAGATGGCAGCCTAGAAGGACCCGGCACCATCAGCCTTTCTGGCTTTGACCGTGAAGCCACGGGACCCTGAGCC